ATACGATATTAGCTATACTAAAAACGCACTCTACAGCGGGAGATGAGGGGTTGGGGCATTATGCATAAAAACTATTTTAACAAGAACAATTTATTAAAAACATTTATTGCTTTGTCCTTTGCTCCAAAAAATTGAGATAAGTTATTCTCCAATCCATCCTCTACTTCCTCGTTTTATATAAAATATTAAATTTATCATTTATAGCATTTTTATATTGTAAATAAAAATATAAATCTTAGGTATATAGTAGATTAAAGAAATCATTTTATATTAAAACTTTAACATATAAAAGTTAATTATTTCTACAATATATAATTTTATATTTCAAAATGTGTTCAAAAATTAAAATATTAAAATCCTTGATTAAAATAATAGTGATTAGATTATAATTTTAAAAAATGATTAAAAATAAATTCCAAATGATATCAACCATTTTCTATCTATGTATATAATATATAAAATTTAATGAATAAATTATTAGCTAGCTACTTAGTTATATTATATAAAATAAAATAATTAATATTAAAATCAAATGTCGTTTTAAATTGGCACTTGAAGATTTGGAAATTGATATAATACTATTTGGGCACATTTTACATTTGGTAAGTATTGAATTAGTTCCTTCAATATAGGATGTTACTGTAAAATATTTATCATATTTGGGCCATGGTATTTCATCTGATTTTGAATTTTCAGAATAAGATGATGATGACGAAATAATAATATCCATGCTTATGCTAATCTATTAAATTAAAATATAAACAATTCAAATTAATAAACTATAATAATGGCTTGCTAAAAAATTAAAATGTGAAAAAGGAAAAAGAGCTGATTAAAAATTATAAGACCTCTTTCTTAAAAAATTTGGATTAATATTAAATTTTTCAAATTAATTGAAATAAAAAGTTTTTCAAATTGAACGAACTTTAAATTTAACGCGTTCTTCAAAAAAAAAACGAACGCGTTCTTTTACAGCACTAAAAATTAGTATACAAATTTAATGAGGTTATTTATGTTATGTTATTTAATTTGTTAATTCTTATGCATGTCTTAAAATAAAGAAATTCAACTTATTTTTGTTTAATTTTTTGATTGGTTTTTATTTTTAAAAATATTTAAAATATTTTTTTTATTAGATTATTAGGATCAACAAAACAATACATTTGATGATTAATTTTAATAACTAAAACTTATAAAACCCCCGAATAAATGCAATATGATATTTAAAAATAATTGGAATGGAATTAACCTTCAAAATTTCAAGCTAGGAACGGATGGAACTGAACCACTATACCTATCGGCTCGACATTCTAATTCCCTTAGCAAAGATAAAATGTTAAATTATTAAATTTTTAAAATTATGAATGAATGATTTAAAAAATTTTAATTATTTTTAGATTTATTATAAAATAAAACAAAACAAAAAATAAAATAAAATATTTTGGATATAATAATTATATTCAGATTTGGGCTAGTCCCTAAAAAAGGAATCTAGATACAGATTCTTTATAAAAGAAATAGTACTGATACATATCTTATTAAAAATTTCAAAATGGCTTATTCTTCAACGGTAATATCTCAAAATTTTTCAGATCATTTAGATTTTTAAATAAATAAAACACATTAATAAACACATGATATTTATTAATAAAATTTTCTTACAATATCATTTATATAAATATAATTAAAAAGCAAAGACATCATTATTATTAATAAAATTTCAACAAAATGAAATTACCCAAATATTACTATTTTAAGAGTCTATATTAGAGTTCTGTAATGGGCAGGGTTTTAACGCCCACCTGTCCGATATTTTAAAAAAATTTAAGCCACCCGTCAGCCAGTCTATACTTTTTTTAAAAAAACATTAGTTTAAAATCCTTTGCCCACCCGGCCGCTTATTAGTCTAAAATTTTTTACCCGTTCGCCCATTATTTATAAATTTTTTTAACCCACCTTGAAATTTAAATAAGCACATTCTTTTAATTTTTTTTAAAATCTCATTAAAAAATAATTCAGTTTCAACCGCTACAGTCCTACAAAAGTTTTATAATTTACAGAAATTTCTATATTAAGATTCAATTTAAATTGGGAAATTTATTTGATCTAATAAATTTTAAAAAATATAAATATATAAAATTAATATTTATTGATATTATTTCTAATTATATGCAAAAATAATAATGAATCCATATTTTCTGGATTCAAGGACGGTTTTGTTCTAAAAACCTTCCCTCACATTCCTCTTAAAGAAGAAGCGCTGGTTGCTAGATTTTTTAAATTTTTCTAGCTAATCTTGATACTTTGATAAATTTTTTCTTGTCGTTTTCACTAAAGTATCCGTTTGTATATATTCTCTACAGTGAGATATTAAATAAAAAGTGAAGCCATTAATAATAAATAAAATGCAGTAATTTAAATTAATTTATAAATTGTTAACTTAAACTAAACTAAGTAGCCTAAAATCTTGCTAAATTATATAAAATAAAAACTAGTTACTTTAAGATTTAAATATTTTGTTATGTCATTAGGTAAGGTGCTCTCCTCTGTAACACCACATCCTTCCATCTATTGTTGTTTAATTTTGACGTGGATGCTATCTATTTCATACACGGCATTTAAAATTTAATATCTTTAATTCAATTCTCAATGCTGCTGGGGAAACGGGTAAGATCAGATTTAATCTACGTTGATATTATATTCTTCCATGCAAATCAAATCCAACATGTTTTCGATATCAACAACCTCAGATATCTTTGGTAATAAAAATGTTGAAATTTCATGGAGCATATTTTTTATAATGTTTACCTAAATAATTTTAATTAACAAATAAAAGTTGTAAATTTTTTAACCCGCCCGCTCGCTCGCCCACTTAGATTGGCGGGTGGGGCGGCCGGGCTACAAACCCGCCTAATGAAGACCACTAGCCTATATGACCAAGGCAATTCAAAATAGTGTACAGTGAAATAAAAATATATACGTTTTATTTCACACTTGATTATTTTAATATAATGATAAATATTAATATGGACAAGAAATCATAAAATTGAATTATCTAATTTGCGTATAAAATAATAATGAATATTGATTTAAAATATAAAGATAGGAAATGGAAAATGCAAGAATCTAGGGAAAAAATGTTAAGTTTTTTAAACAAAAATATAAAAAAATTTACCATCAATTTTAGATAATAATTTTTGCTAATTAAATTTTTATTTAGACATGAAAAAACGAAACCCCATTGTTAGTGTTACTATTACTTTTTGGTAACCATTTGATTACTTTTTACTTTTAAATTTGGATATGTTAGCGTCAATGTGTTTTTTCCGGCAATGTATTATTATATCAACTTTAAATCAGTTCCTAAGTGCATTTTTTAAATTTAAAAATCCGATTTTATCGGAAATGTATTTCATCATGTCTAGAATACCTACCCTATGAATTTCAGACAATTTTGCTATGAACTTTTGAACTTAATATATATATTCTTTTTCCATAGATTTTTTATATAAATAACTCAAAAGTTAAGATAAAATTGTCTACAATTCATCAGATAGGTATTCTAAACATGCTTACATTTCCGGTAAAATCAAATTTTAAATTTATAAAAAACGCGCTCAAAAAATGATTTAAAGTTAACAAATAACACATTGCCTGAAAATACACATTGACGTAAACAGATATAATGAGTAAAAAAAGGGGTATTCAATTAAATATGTGCCATTAATTAAATAATTTAAATTTAATTTTTTGGCAAGACGAGAGTTTGATGGGTGTCGTTTAATTTTTTATTATATTTTATGAGGGCGTAAATTTCACAAGTTGCAATGAACTTTTTGAAAATTTTTTAATTTATATTATGAAAAATTTACAATAAATTAGAATTTCTACAAAAGCTCTTCATAAATTTAAACTTATTGGAAAGCATCTAAATAAGATTCTTAAATTTAAAAAAAATATGCACAATAAGGGATTGAATATGTAATAATAAAACACTACCCCACAAAAATATCACTTTATCAATTTTTTTATGTATATATCTCATAACTTTGGCATTACAGGGTTTCACATCAATTATTAGCAGAGTTGTTAAAGGATCTAGATACATATAAAAATGTGGTATCTGTATCTAGATAGATTTTTGAACCCGTTACTGGTTAACGGTGCATATATGCACCACCTCCTATATACCTTATTTTAACATAGTAATTTTTATTTTAAAAAATAATAAAAAAGATTTTTATATAGTTCAGACATTGTACTTCAAAACTGGAAAAGAAAAATATGAAAAAAATATTTTTTTATCTCCCTAAGAAACCCTCAAACTTTGCGAATTTATGAGGTCTAAAATGCAAAATTTTCTAAGTGATCTCACAAGCATATTATAAAATTATTTCGATGAAAACTAGTGTGTATATATTCTTTATAGATATATCAATATTTATCAATCATTTTTGAATTTTTAAATAATTAAAATTTTAATAGGTAACCACATAAAGTTGACTGGTGCATATATGCACCGTTAACCATCTAGCAGTATAAATTATTTAAAAAAATTCAAACAAATGAAATTTAACATAATGAATCATAATTTTTTATATTACACTACCACTACCGTCACTAAGGGTGGGGGGGGGGAGGAGGGATGGGTGGCTCGAGCCCCCTAAGATTTTTTTTAAAAAAATTTTATACCCGACCTTTTTAAAATAATTTTAAAAAAATTTTTAGCCCCCTGAGATTAAATCGAATAATATATTGTTCCTATTATAATTTTTTATCCCGATCAAATTATATGAAATTATTAGGTTCATAAATATTCAAAAGTTTAAAATTATTTTTAGCCTCTTCCTTTCTGAAGATTTAATTTTATTTATATAAAATATTATCCACCTGTTTTGTCAATTCAATCAAAATTATTAAAATAATAGATGACTAATAAAAAAATCAAGATTCTACGAAAATAATTTGTCTAGATATTTAATTTTTAATAAATTTTTTTAATGAAACGTTTTCTAACAATTGAACAAGCGCTTTCTCAACTTTTTGAAGAGGAACCAATTGAAGAAAGAGATATGGTTATAATTCCGCCAAACCCCTCTGCAGTTAGTGATGAAGAAGATTTCGATGAAAATGACTTAACAAATGTCGGAGTTTTGCCTTCAGATACAGCTGGAGAATTGGAGATTCATAATTCAGTTGATGACGACCTTCCAGAACCATATTCTACAAGAAGCTATTCTCGAATTTCTCACAATTTAAAATGGAGAAAAACGGATGCAATATATTCTTCAAGCCCTTTCAATGGAGAAAAGGAAGATGTAATAAAACTTGAAAATGATTTACATGGTAAAACTCCATCAGATATATTTTCTTTAATTTTCGACGAAGACTTATATTCCCTAATTGTAGAACAAAGTAATATTTATGCTAAACAAATGAATAGACCTAACATATGCATAACCACCCAAGATATTCAGAGATTTATTGGAATTCTATTATTTACTGGATATCATTCTCTCCCACAAGAAAGAATGTACTGGTCTAATGATAGCGATATTTCTATTCCAATAATACGGGATACAATGACCCAATTACAATTTCGAAATTTGAAATGTAATATCCATTTGGCAGACAATAATAAAATAGATATACATGATAGATTTTATAAGGCCTTACATTATAATATTGAATAATAAATTTCAGCAATTCGGAATTTTCAAACATCATTTATCAATAGATGAACAGATGATACCATATCGAGGAAGACATTCTTGCAAAATGTTCATAAAAGGAAAACCAATTAGATTCGGATACAAGTCTTGGATATTGGCTTCTTCCGACGGTTACGTATTCTCATTTGATATATATCAAGGAAAAAGCGAAAATAAATATGAATATGGATTAGGTGGAAATGTAATCATAAAATTATTAAAGGCATTGCAAAAACCAAATTATCATAAAATATATTTTGATAATTTCTTTACATCATTTAAACTCTTGTCATACTTAAAACAAATGGGATATTTTGCAACTGGAACTGTGAGGGACAATAGAATAGAGCATTGCCCAGTTGAATCTATAAAGGTTGTAGCAAAAAAAGAAAGAGGATATTATGATTATAGGTTTGAAAAATTAAGCGAAATATTTGTAGTTCGTTGGAATGATAATTCGGTGGTGACCGTTGCATCGACATGCCACACTATCTCTTTGCTTTCTAATGTTTCAAGGTATTCTAAGAAAATATCTTCTAAAATAAAAATTCCTCAGCCAAATATGGTAACTGCTTATAACAAACACATGGGTGGAGTTGATCTATGTGATAATCTAATATCTACATATAGAATAAAAATAAGAGGAAAAAAATGGTGGTGGCCAATATTCACCAATTTTATTGATGCAGCTTTGGTAAATTCATGGAAAATCTGGAAATTCGTGAATCGAGATGACAAGAAGAGTTTGCTTGCATTTAGACGAGGAGTTACTAACTACCTCCTTCGAACGCCAGTAAAAATTGAAAAAAATTCAAGTACAGGTCACGCCAGCCAGTTTGCATTACAGTGTGAAAACCCTATTGATTCATCTGGACAATATTTATCCAAAATTATAGATGGAAAAAGACGAAGATGCAGATATTGCCATACGCACTCAAGATATATGTGCCAAACATGTCAAATCGCACTCCATATTAAATGTTTCAAGGATTTTCATAATATATAAACATTTTCTCGTTTTTATTATAAATTACAAAAAAAAGAATAAAGATATTTGTTGTTTTTTAATCTTATAGTATTTTATATAATTTTTATCTTTTTTAACCTCTTAATGGTTAACGGTGGATATATGCACCAGGCTAAATTTTCTATTTAGGATTATTTTTTTTGGCTGATTTTTTTAGAATATCATATTTGAGCATTAATCAATATAATTTGAAAAAATTGAGCATTTTTATCCACTAGAAAAATCTTGACCATTAATGGGTTAACCTGAAATGCTTAATTCTTCCAATGTGGCCGGAATAGGAGGAAACCTTTTTATTTTGTGATTTCTAAGTGTCCTCTTGATACTATATTCGGAAGTCTTTTTCTGGATTCGGAAGACAATTTAAACATTTCTTCTGCGTATATTTGGCAAGTATTTTGATTTGTTTCAGAGGCTTTTCTTTTCATCGTGCTTATAGCATTTTCAATTTGATATTCATGTGGGTTTATAGGATGAATATGAGGCGTATTTTCCAATGTATAGTCATTTTCATTGTAATATTTCAAAATAACTGGGCATTTTTCAGCATTATATAATGTACATTTGTATCTTTTAAAATTTTTCGTAGTTTTATGATAATTGTAGGAATAGCCCTCATGAAAAATTTTAGCATGCTTATTTAACGGAAGAATAAACATAAAAAATTTATTAAAATTATCAAAAATGTTTAAAATAGTAAAAGAAAATTTTATAAAAAGTAATAAAAAAAAACTAAATGAAAATCGTTTGTTTCAAAATTACAAAGAATATACCACCCACCCAAATATATAAATTTATTTATTCTTTTTCAACGTTATAAATAATAATAATATCAGGGAATTAACTGGGATTATGTAATAACATTTCCGGAGTTGGAAATTTCAATAAAAAAAAATTCTATTTTAAGATTATAGTCCCTCCTGTGTTTTCTTTGATGAATTAAATATATTAAAAATTATAATATTTATAAAAATAAACAAATATTATTTAGAATATAGTATTTTTGGTAGCGTTCAATTACTTGAGATAGTCTTTAAATTAAATAAGCTTTTGTAATCAGTGATTAGGATCAATACTTTTTTTGAAAATTTATAATCAGATACAATTTTAAAATCAATAGTATTAAACATAAAAAATTTCCATTGTTATTTTTGTCAGGGATTCAAAACTGATATAAACGAACGGAACAGAATAGTGTCATAATATTCATTTTAATGTTATATATATTTTAACCTTAGTGGCGTGTTAGAAATAACCCCCCCCCCTCCTCCTTTTCATGGTAAATATAATGTGGTTTAATTACCTGTTTTCATGATATATATTCAAGTCTAGATGATAAGTGGATTATGGAAATAACGTTTCTCTTTCTAGGGAAAACTTTGCTTTCACATTTTTCTTTTCAATTTTAAATTGTAAAACCTCTTTCATAATTTTCATCAGAGACCTGCAGGCCGGGCCCTAAACCCGGCCGTATTTTAAATTTTTTAAATATACCCGGGCCGGGCCTAAAAAAATTTTTTTTAAATATATCCGGGCAGGGCCGGGTATAAGATTGTTAAACCCGGGCCGGGCCGGGCCTTAATATTTTTTATAAAAATTTTTACATTATGAGTTAATGGTTATAAGATTATATTATATTATAGTTATGATTAATATAATATTGGGTGATGGTTAACACTACCTAACACCCACAGATAGATCTAATTATTAATTTCCTGCAAATCTATTCAAAATATTAATATATTTTTTTATAATTCATATCTAAATTTTTACAACATATTTTACCAAAACAATCAAATAAAGGAATATCTTAAATAAGCCCCAATATTCAAGTATTATTAATATATTTTTTTATAATTCATATCTAAATTTTTAGAATATATTTTACCAAAACAATCAAATAAAGGAATATCACTTCTTAAAGTTTGTAATACCTTTCAAAGCGAAAAAGGAGAAATAAAATTGATTTTACTTAATATAAAACATTTTTTAATTGAAAAATTTGTTTTACACAAGTATCATTTTATTTCACTTTTTCTCTGTCCCAAATTCAAGCAATTACGTATGTAGTCAGGGACAGATCGCAAGATGACGGAAAACTATATAAAAGATTATATTAAATTACAAGAGGCTCAGGAAGTAAATGAAATACCATCGACCAGTCAAATTACGACTGTTGTTAAACAAACTGAATCGTTTTATGACAAATGGGGCGATGGTAATTCTGGTAATATGTCAATACCCGATGATGAATATTATAATTACATAAATAATAGATAAAACATTTAAGGTGGATAATTTGTTAGAGTGGTGGGCGGCTCATCAAAGCGAATTTCCAATTTTAGCAAAATTGGCAATTCCTGCTTTAAGTGCAAGCTGTGAGCGGAATTTTTCCACTACTAGGAGAATTCTTGAAGAAAGAAGAAGTAATCTTCAACCTGAAAAGGTAGATATGCTTCTCTTTCTTCATGATAATTTGCGAATTTTTAATAACTTTATTGAGTATAGGGTTTCGTCAATCATGCTGGTTTTTTACTTTGCAAACTGTCAAATATTTATTGCATTTATTATATTTACCTTGAGTCATGAAAGTTTTTAATCCAACATTTTTCATTATTTTTTTTTACAATATTATATAATACAATTATCTTCTTTTGTTAAAAATTTATAATATAAAATAAATTATATTAATATTGTGCAATTAGATTATATTTTCAAAATACTTTTATTATACATGCATTTTTTTAAATAGCGATTTATTTTTATTTTATAAATTAATAGTAAATTAAATACAATATATTATATTCTCAAAATATTTTCCATTTTTATAAATTAAATATTAGTTTTATTTTTTTTAAATGCAATATAAAATATAGTATATGACAAATATTATTACCATTTTTATAAATATTAGTTTTATTTTTATAAATGCAATATAAAATATAGTATATGCTCAAAATATCCATTTTTATAAATAACAGTTTTATAATTTTTATAAATTCAATATAATATTCTCAAAATATTAGCTTTTTACATGTATTTTTTAAATAATAAGCGATAATACTCGCTGAAAAATATGGTAAAATACCTCATAGGTGAATTTTTGTATATACCAGGTCGAATATAATTTTAAAAAATTCCGAGCCGGGCCTGAAATTTTTTTTTAAAAAATATCCGGGCCGGGCCTGAAATTTTTAAATCCAGGCCGGGCCGTAAAAATTTTTTTAAAAAATATCCGGGCCGGGCCTAAAAAATTTACAACCGGGCCGGGCCGTGCAAATGGTACCTCTGCAGGTCTCTGATTTTCATATATTTCTATAAAAATCTATCGTCACACACAAATCTATACCTTTTATGATATCTACTAAATTATAAAATATAAAAGCTACCAATCGATTTATCAATTCTCATTTAAAGATTGCCCTTTTGGAATTAAAAAAGAAATACTCTCAACGTTCAGAAAATACTAATATAATTTTTTAGAAATATTTTCGTTATTTTAGCGGCGGGATTATTTTTTGATAATTTAAAAAAAATTATTCGGGGAATTTTTCCCGGTTTTTTTTCCGGGGATTAATTTTCCCCCATATTTAATTTAAAATCTAAAAAATGAGGAATTTATTTCCGGGGAAATATTTTCCGGGGAATTATTTTCTAAAGGAATTTTTTTCCGGGTAATTATTTTCCAAAGATTTTTTTTCCTGGGTTATCTTCCAGGGGATATTTTTTGCTGGGATTTTTTTTCTGGGAAATAATTTCCCAGGGGATTTTTTTCCGGGGAATTATTTTCCTGGGGAATTTTTTTCCGGGGAATTATTTTCGGGGATTTTTTTTCCGGGGAATTATTTTCCGCTTACCAATTTCAAGAGCAAAAGTAGAAAAGGAAGGTTGAAACTTCCCGATAAATCAAAATCCAAGGGAAGAAGTTCTTTAATAATATGTCAAAGACAACCGTTATAATGCTGTTCTAATTTAAGAATTTTATATTAAAAAAGGGAGAACTATTAGTTTGCAAATATATAGTACAAGACAGCAGCTGATCTTGGCTAAAATAATTTATCTGGCTAAAGGAGGCTGCTAAGTCTGAAAATAAATTTGGGTGGTGGGCACGTAATAAAGACCTTGGGTCATATGATGATGAGAGCTTACTTTCAATCTCTATAAGGCAAGAAGCATCCTTACAATGGCTAAATATTAATAGAGAATCTTAACGAATTTATAATGCAAATCTACTTTGATTTTTTTGAAATAATGGGGCGGCTCTCAATATATCTTTAAACTAAAAATTTGAAGATTTATCAGCTTGGAATGATTGAAAATCCCAAGTCTTCTGTATCTTTTGTAATATAACCTTCACCTCCATTCGAAATAATGCTAAAAATGGCTATAAATATGAAAATATTATGATTTGTAGCGCTGCCAGATAAAATCTGGTTACTAAATAAAATGCATCGAATAAGTCTAACGACGAAAATGTATAGCACCCGAAGATTCTATTAATTTTTATATTTAAAACATTTCATCCTGCAATTGATTAAACTATAAATAGTTTAATTTAAAAACCATAAGATTTTTCGTTAAAATATATTATAACGAATGTGCAATATTTGCATCCGGAAAATTTTGATGAAATATATATCTAAGGTTTCTGACCTCAAAGGAAATTTCACAATTAGATGATGTATTCAGTGAAAAATCATGATGTTGTCTTCATTTGCCCGTATTTACAAAGATTTAACAGTCAGGTTAATGAAAATATTTATGATATAATTTGTGAAATGAAGAGGCTAATAAACGTTGATATATTATAAGATAATAGTAAATCCAACCAAGTAATCAATGCTTAATATGTATCTATGAGATTCTTTAATGCTATGATAGGCACACAACTGAGCATATTACTTAATAAAAGTAAAATTACAGTAAAAAAGCTAACGGTGATATTAACTTTATTTGGAACATGTAACAGTAATAAAAAA